TGGATTAAATATAAGTTAAGACAACCTCTGAAGACACATGCAAATCACACAGGTATTTTAGCTGTGCTTTACGGATGAAAACAACTAGAGAAAAGCACAAAGGACCACCTTTATCTGCAACATTGCCAGACACAGTTTGAAGTAAAACACCACCGAGTTTTTCAAAGTTACACTAAACACACACCACACCATCTTCACCTTTTGGCTTAAAGCATTTATCCAAGAAGTTACAGTCTAATTAGGTTATTTAAAAAGGCACATCTGTAGACTGCTCAGAGCAACTGCTTCAATTTTAATTAGTAAGGCTTCAGCCCAGAGAAGCCCGGGATGTCAGTCTGTCTCTAACCCCCCCCCCCCGAAGCCTGGAAACGTGAACAGTCTCAGCCCCTTCAGCTAAACCACTATTCGGTTCTCACGGCAGTGACCTCTTGGGAAATTTACCATCGCTGGCTCCAGCCACACCACTGGATCCAGCCTATCAGAGATAACAGGCACAGAAACCCACACCGCAGACAAAACCATGCTGCTCCCATCCCTGCGCCCCAATTTAACCCTTTATACCCTCCCCTCCGGCCCCGCCGCGTCAGACGTCGCTGCAGTCCCACTCTGAAACCTGCACTAAAAATCCACACAAGAAAAGCTGCAACCCGCACCGCTCACGGGCCGGGGGGGCCGCACCGCTGCGGAGCCAGCCACAGCTTCTCCCCGAAGGCGGCAACGGGCACAGCCGACCGCAACCGGCGCCCCTCACTGCCCCGCCCCAGGAGCTCCCGCAGGCACCCCTCCCGCGGCGGCCGAGTGGGGCAGGCCGGGCCCCCGCCACTCACTTGCCCTCCTGGCAGTCGTAGAGAACGATGGAGTCGTCGTCGCTGCTAGAGATGACGGTCTCGCCGTTGGGGCTGAAGTCGAAGCAGTTGATCTTATCCGAGTTCTCGCGGAACACCTTGGCCACACGGAAGCTCCGCAGCACGTTGTCCGTCAGCTTCATTCCGCCGCCGGGCCGGGCCGCGCCGCGCCGAGGGCGGCGGCGCTGAGGAGGAGCCGGGCGGGGCTCCTAGCGGTGGCGGCGGCTGCGGGAGCGGGCGGGCAGGGCCTCGCGGGGCGCCGGGGACCAGGCAGGGGGCAGCAGAAGGGGGCAGGAGGGATCGGCGGGGCCGGGCGGCACCCTCCGGCTGAGCTCGGCCCACTCAGGCCGCAGGGACGCGGCTGCTCCTCATTGTGTCCGCCATCTTGCTGCTCGGGGAACGGCAGCGAGCGGCGCGCTGGGCACCACGGGAAGGGGAAGGGGGAGAGCGGGCGGCGAGCACTGCCTGCTGGGATAGGGGAGAAGGCCGCGGTGGGGGTGGCCCGTGCCCGGCAGCCATGTTGAGTGCGGCGGGAAGGTCCTCCCGGGCCGCGGACGGATGGGGGTCGGGGTCGGGGTCGGGAAGGGGCAGCCCGGGGCTGGCGGCACCCACCGGGCCGGGCGGGGCGGGGGAAGCCGCGCTGAGGGCGTGACATCATCCCGAAGGGCGGGCAACGGCTTCGAGCCGCTGGGCTGCGCGGGAGCGCGTCACTTCCGGTGCCGGGCAACGCTGGAGCCGCGCCGCTGCAGCACGTGAGGTGCGGGCGCGCCCCCGCCGCCGGCGGAACGCGTTCCCCGCGGCAGCTTCCGAGGGAGCCGGGGGGAAGCGGCGGAACGCGGGCTCGTCTGGTCGGGGGGGCCGGGGCGTCCCCAGGGATCCGCCCCGGGAGCGCGTCTCGCGGGTGTTTGAGCCGTGTCCCCCTCCTTCAGGCACAGGTCCGGCCGCCTCGCTTTGTGCCCCTGCCTTCATAGGACCACGCAAGTGTTCGGCTTGGAAAAGACCTTTGAGATCATCAAGCCCGAGCGCTACCCCAGAACCACCCCGCTGCCCCCCACTAAGCCGTGTCCCCAAGTGCGGCATCTACAGGCCTTTGAAACGCCACCAGGGACGGTGACTTCACCGCTTCACCTCCCTGGGAAGACTTGTTCCGGTGCCTCACCCTTTTGGTGGAGACGTTTTCCCGATCCCGCACCCAGGCCTCCCCCAGCCCTTATTACACATCTTTGTTTCTCAGTATTATTTATTCTTCCAAACCCTGGGCCCCGAGCAGTGCTACAGGAACACCACAGCTCGCGTCCTGTAACATGTCAGGTACAGATGAGCACCGCACAGCCTGTGAGAAAGGCACCTTGGCGTTTGAGGCTGGTGCTCCAACACAGACACGTTGGAACTGCTACTCTTTTCTCTCGTGAATCCCGATGTCAGGCTCTGTAGTCATGTTTTTGTACATCTCTTACCTTAAAAAGTTATTCCTGGGGTATAATAGCAGCTGTGAGAATCTCCCCCACCCCCAAAGATTGCCAGTGCCCCACTAGTTTCATTTTAGAACGCCGCCAGCTCCTTTGTCATTTCTACCTCTCAGGACCTCGGAATCAAAAACCCCAACAAAACGTAGATAGATGCCTTCATAAATGCTAATGGTATTCTCCTTTCAGTCTCCAGAATAGAGTTCGATTTTGCTTTTAGAATAATATTGCCCTCCTGTGGTCAAACAACAGTAACTCCGGGAACTATTGCCAGAGGTCTGCATGCTCGTCCTTCAAACATGCTGGCTTACTTTATGTGCAGATACAATTCAGTGAAACACAAGTCTTCTCTCAGATTACTTGCTCCCACTGTTCACCGTTACAGGTTTAGCCGTCTAACCTGATTCACCCCTTCATGCTGTGATGGGATCGGCTCATCGGGATGATTCACCCATGTTACTTTGATACGGAGGCAGGATTTTCACACCGGTGTCTGGGGACTCTCAACACAAGACACCTTTGTTGCTTCTGAGGCCTCGGGGTCAGCTGCACGATTGCAGGTCAGTGCAAAACCCACAACTGATCTCTGTGTGATGGGGGGTTGTAGAGAAGCACAGAATTCTTGCACACTGTGACTTGCATGATCAAAGCCTGGATTATCTGATGTGGGCCCTGAAGGTGACTCACTGATACCATCATAAGGCAATTTACTTCAAAACACCTACAATACTTAGGTTAGTTTTACAGTTGTATAACACTGTGGGTTGTTGATTTGATATTTTGTCACTCCCTTATTCTTTCTTCTGCCTTTGTTCCTGATGGCTGGAACTTCATTTGTCAGTTTATACCCAGCTGGAATTTATGTGGCGGGATAATTGGATCTCCTAGCAAACTGTCATATTAAGTAGGCATTATAGATAATGGCCCTAGTTAATGGAAAAAAATGCTTAACTGCTGCTTGAATAATATTGATCAAATGCAGTCATTCTACCTGTGCATTTCCATATTAGATACCACCATAACCTGCACAATACAAACAGACCTGTGCTTGCTCAGATGAGTGCTCGTGAATTTTAGAGAGATGCTTCTGGAAACAACACTGCTCAGGTGAATATATTTCTGCTGAACTCCAGTGGGGGTGATGGTTCTCTGTGGGTAGCAATTATGACTTAACACTTGTGTGGAGAGGGGCTTGCATCTTACAACTTGGCTTCTCTTTATGGGCTCTTGAAACTAAGCGTGATGCTCAGGACCATTGAACTCTGACCCTGCTGTTACCACATGGAATCGCAGAAGTGTGGGGAGAAGGGACCCCTGGAGCTACCTGCTCCACGCTCTGCTCAGTGAAGGATGGCCACCAGCACAAGATCAGCTTGGCCATGGCTTTGTCTAGCCAAACCCTGAAAACCACCTAGCGCGGAGAGCACAGCTTCTCTGCGCGGCCTGATCCAGTACTGTGCAACCCTCCCTGTAAAGAACTCTTCAGTCATGTCCAATGTGAATGTCCTCACTTGCAAATTCTGGCCGTTGTTCCTTACTTATACTTTCTGCCACTACTAAGAAGGGTTCATAGCTGCTGTCTTTATAGCCACCCTTCAAGCTGTTGTAGCTGCTGTTGGGTTGCTCCATAGCTGGTTGCACCACTTGATTCCCAGAGTGCCCTGATGCACAGGGGGATCCTGCCCCAGCAGCAAAACTTCATACTTCTCCTTGCTTATGACACGAGGTTTCTGTTGGCCCTGACTTTGAGTTTATCACAATTCCTCTGGAAGGTGGCTCCAGCAGCACCTCTCCCAAATCAAGCACTTTGGGCTGCCCTCTGTATTGAAGCCGTAGGGCGACATGAACCGCAGCAGAGCCCTTGTTGATTATCAGCTGTCAACTGGGCTGCGAGCCACTGATTTCTACCCTCTGAGCCCAGTGCTCCAGCTGTTTTTCAATGAATCCAACAGTACGTATGCCCAGCCCACACTTCTTCAGTCTGCTCATGAAAATGGTGTCAAAAACCTCACTAGAGTCAAGGTAGATTACATCTGCTGCTTTCTGCGTTTCCCGTAGCCTAGAGGGCAGCTGTAATTGTCATCCTGTGACTGATTAATATTCCTGGCTCTTCCTCCTCTTATGTTATTTCCAACTGAAGAGCTCATAATTTTTTGCTATTAATCCCAGAGAGCATGACCTTGTATTTTGCAGTACTGAATTTCGACCCCTTTCTGTTATTCCAGTTCTCAAGGCTGGCATCTTTTCATCTTCTCTAGGATACTCTGATCCTTCCCTGTACTTTAAATGGCTCTCAACTTTGATTGCAAGTTCACTCAGGGAGTTTGAGAAATTACAGCATGAAAGGAAGTAGACTTGGCATGGACTTGGCTTCAGGGTAGTGCTGGTCTGCATTGAGCTACAGAATGATTTTTTTACTGAAAAATATTTCCTCCCTGCAATCCCTAGTGCCTGGGAAAATCATTTCCAAAAGGTATATAGGGAGTGAAGGGAGTATGACCTAGAAAAGCTAGTAAGATGCATATGTCAAATCCAGTTATTTTTTTTTTACTAATGATAGTGATCTATATATATAAAATGCTGAACAGAACACTTATCATCCCTGTGTTTGGCCTTAGGCTACATTCCCCATCAAAGGCAAAGAGATGCTGTTGACACCTTCCTGGTGAGTAAATCAGTCATGAGTGCGGCATATTTCTTTTCCAAGAAACATATAGAAGGCCACGTATTGGAAATTAGGACTCCTGGGTTTTCCAGAGCTCAGCATGTTCTTGAAACAAAGGTATTCGAACTCCGTTCTACTTTCTCCCTTGCCTGCCTGCAAGGGCAGCTCTCTGGTCTCATCATTTTGCTACTGTCTACCCTCATCTTCTTTCCCAGTTATGGATGCAGGAGCACCACAGGGAGTGGGAGCAAAAGGACCTTTCACCCTGTCATTGCACACCCACGTGTGTGCTGGACACTTCATAGCTGACCAGTCCATCCTGGCTGCAGACATTTTCTCTTTCACACAATGAATGAGGCAGTGCAGTAATTTTATGCAAATCCATGTGCAGATTAAAAAATTAATCAAATTCTAAAATTTTCATTTAAAGAGATTAGTCTCAAAAATTCCCCTGCTAATCCTCCCAGAATAGTCAGTTGGAACAAACCTTCACTGCTTTGCTTTCCTCCTGGGTTCAGTGCATCTCCTGGAAAATTTTCTCATAATGCTTTTGGGACCATCTGGAGCAGCAAGTTTGAGTTTGAGCAGGGCTCACCAGGCAAATTGAAGTTGATATATCAAATGATAGAAAAGATGTGTCAGTAAGTGGGAACAGGGGAGTTTAAGGCAGTACAATCTCCACTCTGTTGTACTTCGTGGGTAAACTCCCATGGTGAGGCATGAAAGATGGAAGCTGTGAGCCTTGGTGAGCCTAGCAGTAATTTACATACTGAGAGGCCAGAAGAAAGTCATGCAACAAGAAAAATGAGTAGCAAGAGACACTGCTAAAACTTGCTGTGTCTGGTAGTTTACTGCTGTAACAAAGATGTAATCTGTCTTTAGAGCTTGAGCTCAAAATTATCCTGGAACACTTGGGATCCAGTGACATAGCAAGTACTTTCCAAGCCCCTGAGGGATTTTGGAGTTGACCCTGTGCACAGTGGGCCAGCCACCAACCACTGCCACACGGGGGGAAATCCAGAGAAGACCTGATGACATTAAGGAGAAGCTAATTTAGGCCCCTGAAGATCTCAGTTCAATTAGACATCCTGGAGCATTAAATGTACAGCATCCTCTGATCTTGCAGCACCTGAAACGCTTGGGATGTGTGATTGTGTTGGCCTGCAGCAAGCGCAATTGCTCCAGCTTCAAGAAAACCACAAGCCCATGATGCAAACCCTTGAACAACCCTCTAACCACAGCACCTGGAATGGCTCAGCTCTGCCCAGCGATGGCCGGCTGGCTCCTAGAAGGGAATATTTTTCTGGCTTTCAGATACATGCCATGGAGCAAGGTGCTGGTTCATTTTTCTCACTGCATGGGCATGGCCAGCTCATTTGTTCACCGTTTTCTTTCCCCAGTGTGACTCCAAGTTTATGGCTCAGACTGCACCCCCCTGTGTCCATGCTTTTGGTCTCATGCCACCATCCAATTTACCTGGCAGCTTACCACATTTCTGCCCCCAGTGCTGATTGTTTCTGTCTCCTTCTGGCTTTGGCTCCTTGCCTGCAGAATTGCTTTAATTAAAAAGTTAATGAAAGGTAATGCAAACGAGCACTTTGCCTGTATTTTATCAGAGTCCAGCTCCTCTCCCTCCCTCTTTCCCAGAGAAAGTGAAAATGAGGAGCTGGGGGTTTGCTGCTTTTTGTGGTGAGTTAACAGTGCAGGCTTAGGAGGAGCCCTATGAAGAACGATTTCTAATGGTAATGCATGCAAGCAAGTATGTAGATGGAGAACATTATTCATCAATGAAAGCTGAAGAAGTTTCCATTTAAAGGGGATTAATCTAAATCCCTTATAGTATTCCTGCTCTCTTTGGAACAGGCAATTCTCAGCATCATTTTTCTCCCAACTTTTCAAAAGACTATCTATACCCAAACTCCAAATTATTCTGAGCAGGGACAAAGGGAAGGTATAAACCTGAGTGCCACTGGTGCCTATAGTATGCCACGTTCTATCCATATAGAAGAGTACTCATTCATCCCTATGTGATTTCCCTGAGAAACCAGGGAACAAATATTAGTGCGTGAAGCAACATGAGCCACATCATCAGCCCCTTCTCCCAGCCCAGATTCTTCCCATCCAGCAGTGGGAAGAGGAAAATGCAGGGAGGTGAGGATGTAATTTCTTCATGTGCAATACAGAGCAGCTAACCAGCAATAACATAAATTCTAGACTCACTATCCTGGAGGTAGCTCAAGAGCTGCCACTTGGATTATCTTTCTTTCCAAGGCTGCCTGTGCTTTGGCGTGGGGTGATGTTCAGTTCTCTTGATTTTTGTTTTTAAAGCCCTAGAGAAATGACTAGGAGTTTTAATTTTTGTTAATATCTACAGTGGATTTCATAGCACTGATTTATAGCTGGTCCCTGGTGATGTTCAGTACCCAGTGCCTGAGACTGTATAAATAAATTACATAAAAATGGATTTGTGGCATCATTAGCAGCACCCCCATTCCAAGGGGAGCCTCCAGTGAGCCTGCGTGTCTAATCAAAGCTGACAAGGAGCAGAGTTGCACACTGAGACCTCCAGAGCTAATGGGCCTGTGCCAGATTCAGCTCCCTGTTGTGTTGGTGTAAAGTCGGGTAACTTCTGACTGCAAGGGGGTTTTACACCAGGTTTACTCTATGTTTACACCCGTGCACCATGATCAGCATCAGGCAGCATGCTGTAAAATCCTTAAGAGCAATAGAAAGACGCATGCTGACTTCAACAGGCTCTGGATCAGGCCTTGATGGTTAAAATATAATCTGAGTTCAGAGTGCAGAAAAGAAATTACATGCCTGCTATTGTAGTGAAACGCTTTCCAGAGCAAGCATTAGCAGTACGCACACGAGTGCCAGATGAATTAAGCTGGCATTTCTTTTTCTCAGCTCCAGAGGGGAGGATTGCTTTTAAACAACTCACGCCTGCTGTGTCGTGTCTGGAGTCGGAGCTGAGCGGAGCCACCGGCAGGGCACGTGTGACAGGAGCCGCAGTTGCAGGTCTGTTGTGCTCAATCCCCTGCTCTTCAGGGTCAGCCCCACACAGAAGCATCAAGGCAGAGACAGAGCCTAATCTAATAAAAGATTATTTTTTAAAACTCCCCTGGCTCCATTTAAGCCCTTTTCTCCAACCACTTCTGCAAACCCTGTCCCGCAGCTCGGACGAGGCAACCTGGGGTGCGATGCACCTCTGTTTTGTAACACCTTCCTGCTTGCACTGTGCTGCCAGGTGAATCAGAGACCTGCTGGGAATGGAGATGCTAATCTCAGTTCCTGAGAGGTGCACAGCTGGAGTCACTGGTGTTAGCACAGTTACTCTGGCCCTCACTGTAAGAGGGCTGAGGATCTGCGCTTTGACCTGCTGGCAGCATCAGCTGCTATGAAGTTTAAGAGTCTAGTCACAGAATTGGTCAGGAACTCTATTCTTTGTGACTGAAAAGCCAGTCCTTCTGGCCAGTACCTAAAGGGAGTATAGTCAGGTAGTTTATGTGCTTTGGGGTTTTACCTTTAAAATCTCCTAAGCATTGAATCATTTACAATTAGACTTGATCTTAAGGGTCTTTTACAACTTAAATGATTCTTGGATTTTTTTTCTTTTTTTTCTCTGGCAAACCTGTGCTTCTCCATATGGTTTTACCTGTAGGTCCTTTGTCTTTTAGATTTCAGAGTGTGTCCAGGTTTCGCTGTCTGAGAAGGTGCTTGCATAGAGGTTTGCACAGAACCTTTGGGTCCTTGCAGCAAAATAAGGCAGATTTAGATCCAGAGGAGCTGTTGGGAAGCTTGCCTGGCTTAATGATTAACACCTTGCAGTGCTATGAGAGTATTAGGACAAAGAGACCTCTGGACTCATGAGCTCTCCCGGAAGAAGCCAGCCACTGGTCTTGCACTGAAACACATCCATTTACTAGAGGGAAGATTAACTCTCTCAGGTAATTCGAATGGGTCTGCGATCCTTTGTGTTGCTAGGCTGCTTCAGCCTCCTGGCACCCTGTCTTAATTGCCAGCACCATAATTACCATGAGCAGAAGAGACACAGATCACAAGGATCTTTGATCCTGAGAAAGCAGCACTGAACTTCCTGCCAGTTAACAGACAGAAGGAGAAATGCTGGGAGGGAATAGATGCATGTGTACTGGCAGGGGCTGCCTTTCCTCTGTCAAGACAAGTGCCTGCCCTCCAGCAGTTGAGATCTTTCTGTCCACATGAAGATCTGTTGCGTGTAATGCTAATAGAGGAGACTAGCTCAAATGGGCTTTTGCAGACACAGCTGGCAACTTTGCAGGACCTGAGGCCTTACTTGGGCTTTAAATGTGATTTTAATGGATAATAAAGGACTAAAAAGTAAAGGCAAATGAAGCCTTGTGTTAATTTGCTGGACAGCTGGGAAACCTCATTATTTGTTGTTTCTCTGTGGCCACCAGCAGTAAGGGATCAGGCAGCCAGCAAGCCTGTTGTTTCTCTCAAGTCCATGCCTGATGCTGCAGGGACACATGGGGCAATGTGCAGCCAGAGAATGACATCAGCATTTGGCTGGCACAAGCAGGGAGTTAACGTAGCGAAAGCTGTTCCACCCAGATGCCCTGCTCTCTCCACGACAGAGAGCATCTTCCACAGTTTGGAAAGGCATCAAACACTGAACTAATAGAAATGATGGCTTGCCAGTGGCAAATGTACAGTGATGGAGAAGCTGGCTGGCAGGACTCACCTTCTCTGTGGGAGGTGATGGGATTGCAGCGAACCACAAGCTGACAAGTAGTCTGAATGTGACACTGCCTTTGCCTCCCACCTGACTGAAGAGAGGTTTGAAAGTGCTGTTGATATAGCACCTTAACCTAGAGGAAAGAGGAGCTAGAGCTCCATGGTTGGTGTTTTGCCCTCCCTGCTCTCTGTGTCAGCCCTGGCTCTTCTACTAGCAAAACTGTTCACATTCTTTTGCAGGTTGGAGGGTGTCAGCGGCCCCAGCTCTTAAAGCCTCGCCAGCATTGGCAGAACGTGTCGTGTCCAAGCCCACCTCACTGAGCAGATTGACTCACCCTGGCCACCTGTGCACCATGTCCCTCCGTGAGCATGCACTGACCCTCTTCTGCAGTGCAGTGGGCACTGTCCGGCCGGCTCCGATGCTGAAGAGGGCTCTGAAGCTCCAGCAAGATGGGTGCCCTCAGCTGCTGGTAAAGGGCAGGGCCTTCCCAGTGAAGAGGAACCTGTACCTGGTAGGTTTTGGCAAAGCTGTGCTGGGGATGGCTGCGGCAGCAGAAGAGATCCTGGGAGATCACCTCGTTCGGGGGATCATCAATGTGCCACTGGGCATCCAGGAGAGTCTGCAGCGAGCAGGAATGCAGTAAGGGGACCATACCTGGGCATTTTCTGGGGGGAGGCTGACAGATTTATCCTCTGTGCAATGTTGCTGTGGCCCATTCAGTCCGTTCCAACTACCCTCGCTCTGGTGCTCACCCCATCCACCACACCACATCGGTCTTCAACCATCATCACGTCCCAGTGTCACCGATGACACAGCCCGGCTCTTGTGCTGGATGCACTGCCTCTGCAGGCCTGGGCAGGAGACATTCAGCAAAGGCCACCTCCCTGTCTTGGTCTCTCATTGTGCACCTCTGGCACAGCAGGCCCATTTCTCTGCTGAGTGACAGCCCTGTGAAGGTGCACGTGTCAGTGGTGTGATTGCCTCTCTTACCTCACCAGGGAGATGCTGCTGAAGCCACACAGCAAAATCCAGGTCATCGAAGGTGCCAAGAACAACCTCCCGGACGCCGAGGCTCTGAAGGGAGCACTTGCCATCCAGGAACTGGCAGAGGGTCTGGCTGCAGATGACCTGCTCCTTGTGCTCATCTCAGGTAGCATGGGGATCCCAGGGAATGGGCTCTGCTGGGGGCCCTCCAGCTGCCTGCCCATGTGGGAGCACTGTGCTGTGCCAGCCCTTTCAGCACTGACACTTGCACCTGTCATTTCACCTCTCCCTTCTCCTGTGTAGCCTTTCTCTAGGGATGCAGCAAGGGAGGGCATGGAGCTACCTGCTACTGCAGTGGACATGCTGCCTCCCAGCACTGGCTGCACAGGTTGGGTGCTGAGGTCATGCCACCACTGTGAGATGACACCTCTGGGCACAGCCTGCCAGCTGCTCTCACCCCTTGGCAAGAAGATGCTTTCCTCCTGCCCCCTCCTTATATCTGGGGATACAGACTTGGAGAAGCAAGCACTTGGTGTACTTACGTGCTCCAAACTTGTACAGGGGTGCAAGTCTGTAAGCTGAGATTTGGGACTGACCCTCCATAGGGCTTTGCTGCTTCCTGGCCAGTGGAAACAAGGCCCCCACATTCCAACACAATGAGCTACAGACCTGAACACACCCAGGCCCTGGCTGCTGGGTCGAGGGCTGGTGTAAGGAAGGCAGATATTGTGCATCAGAGGGATGCAGTGACATCACCCCAGCCTGAGCTCAGCTGGGTGAGCAAGTGTCACAGGTCAAAAGCATGCAGGGGCTTGGAGCAGCTCTGGAGAAACGCCATGGTCTCTGCTCAGTGACTGTTCCTCTATGGATGCTGGAGCCTGATCTGGTGCAGAGAGAGTAGTGGCATTAGGCAAACACCCAAGTGACTGGAATCTAGCTGCACTCGCTGGGCTTCCTCCTGTTCTTTGGCTGCAGGAATCCCCAAGAGACTCCTCAGCCCTTCAGGGAGCCTGTACAGGATCTCCCCGTGGCTGCGACTCCCTATGCATGTGCACTCCCACACAGCAGCCGGTCCCCAACTGCTCCTGCCTCTCAGCTAGATCCCTGGCTATTGACTGAAACATAGGCATTTGCATTTGTTTTTCTTGCTCATCATGTTTTATTGATGCTGGTTTGTCTCAAACCTCTGAGCAGGCTTTGCCTTTTGACAGTAGCTTTCAGCTGTACTTCTGTGCATGTTCATTCTCTGCTCAGATCTTGCTCCTTTCTACTCCGTATTTTCCATCCATTCCACTTTTCCTTTGGAACCTGCCTTCTTTCTGCATTTCCAATGCCCGCATCTATCAGATGATTCACTATATATGGGGTAGTGGGGATAGTAATTGGTTGCCCTTCTTTGTTGTCCCCACACCACTGCAGGTGTGCAGCGAGGTTTACACTGCCCAGATGAGGTGTAGCTGAGTGCAGGCAGTGCAGGACAACTGTGACTAAAACCCATCAGCGAAGACTGAATTATGCAGAGATGTTAGCATAGTCCCCACTGACCTTTGCCTTCTCTCTATGCACTCATGAGGGAAGAGGAAAGGCACAAGTTTTGAACAGCCTTGCTTTCATTCTGTCGTGTTCCTGCTCTCCTGATGTCCTTGCCATCTTTTCTGCATCCTAGGGGGTGGGTCAGCCCTACTGCCTGCTCCCATCCCTCCCATCCTCCTCAAAGAGAAGGAGAAACTCACAAAGATGCTGGCTTCCCGAGGAGCTGCCATACAAGAGCTGAACATTGTCCGGAAGACTCTGTCCTTGCTGAAGGGTGGAGGACTTGCCCGGCTCTCATATCCTGCACAGGTAATGGAGAAGAAGCCCCTGCTTGCCCAGAGATCACCCACCGGCCCCTGAAATAGGGGTTTAATCAACTGACCTAAGCATTTGGAGGATTTTCTCCTCACTCAGTGAGCAGCCTTTACACACCGTTTGAGTACTGTGGCTCAGATTTCACCAAGGACCCAAAACTCTCAGGGAGACAGAGATGAAAGAGGCAAATGTCAGACTTGGTGTGTGTTGGCTGTCCCATCACACCACTCAGCAGACGCCAGCCCTCATGCAGCAGGCACTTCCAGTGTGCTGGTGCTCCACCACAGAGTCCAACATGGCACTCCCTAGGGGCTGTTCTCAGCACACGCCATTGCTGAACCCACACTAGGCTGTAAGTGCGCTGACAAGTGCAGTGTCACGGGTTACATCTTCCAAAGCGATGGTCCAGCATCAAAGGATGTTGTAGAGTTGTGGGTTCAAGGGCAAGGTGACACTCACAGGACCCTAAACCAAAAATGGTCCAACATCTACCCATTTCCATCTCCTTTGACATGAGGGTGGTACAAGTATAGCTCAGAGCAGTGCTTATGCCAGGGCTCTTGCATGCTCTGCCTCCCACAATAATCTGTGGGCATTTCTTTTTGTAGGTGGTGAGCCTCATCCTTTCTGATGTGATTGGTGACCCCCTGGACATCATAGCAAGCGGCCCCACTGCTGCCAGCTCCCACACTGTCCAAGACTGCCTTCAGATACTCACCAAATACAACGTGCTGCACAGTCTGCCCAGGTCAGTGGAAGCGGTCCTGTCCAGCTCTCCCACCAAGCCCGCTGCTCCAGAAGACTTCTCCCACGTTTGTAACTTCATCATCGGGTCAAACAGGCTGGCTCTAGACGAGGCCAAGCGCCAAGCTGAGGGCCTGGGCTACACCACGCTGGTTCTGAGCGCAGCAGTCTGTGGGGACGTTGGCCGCGTTGCCACGCTGTACTGCCAGCTCATCCGGCTGCTCTGCCTGCGCTTTGCCGGCCTCGGAGAAGGGCCCCAGAGTGATGAGGTGAGGAGGGATCTCCTGCAGCTGGTGGCAGAGCTCCAGATCCCAGGTCTGAACCTTGCTGAATTTCTACAGGCCCTGCGAGGATTAGGGTCTAAAACACCAGTGTGCATCCTGGCCGGCGGAGAAACCACAGTCCAGCTCCAAGGAACCGGCAAGGGAGGGAGGAACCAGGAGCTGGTCCTGCGCGTGGGGCTGGGGCTGCACAAGGCACGGGCCGTGGAAGCCAGGAGCTCCCCAGGGAGCTGTGAGATCTTCTTCCTCAGCGGTGGAACGGACGGGCAGGACGGGCCGACGGAGGCAGCCGGAGCTTTCTGCAGCCCAGAGCTGGTGACTGAGGCATTGCAGGAGGGCCTTGATGTGGAGGCTTTCCTTAGCAGCAACGACTCCTATGCCTTCTTCAGCCAGTTCCAAGGTGGACATCACCTCCTGGTGACAGGATTGACAGGCACCAATGTCATGGACATCCAGGCCATTTTAATTAGGGCCATGGAATGATCCTGAGAGGTCCCTCTGCAGCTATCCAGATGCATTTAATTAGGACCCGGGGTAAAGGAAGGCATCAACACTGCAGACAAATGTAAACTACTTAAATTAGGGCTTGCTTTTGAGGGTGCTACTGTCTTTGACAGAAATAGTCCACTAATTAGACACAGGAGTGGACATCCACAGCAAAAGCAAGCACTTGTAATTAGAATCAGAGGGAGATAAGAGGTCACATTACAGACGTAGAGGCCGGATTTAACACTACTGCTGAGAGCCACCACACTTGTGACTGCTTCAACTGTAGTTAAATGATGCGAGGAAATGAAGGCCATGGTAGGGCTGCCAGGGAGAGCCCTCACAGCGGCTGTTGCACCTCAAGAGCAGCTCAGCAGCGGGCTTATGCAGTTTCACAGAAGTGCGTTACAGAGACCAAAAGATGTAAAAGCAGTGGCAAAGCCTGCCCAGCTCAAGGCAAGGAGGTGCTGGGGAACATGGTGGGAAGGGGACACCCAGCACCCACTCCAGTGCGCTGCAGCTTCTCCCACACCAGCATACCTCAGCAGAGACCTCAAGCCCAGCATGATGCACACCAGCGTAGCTAAGGGGCACATTGGCAGAGAAGTGCTTGGTGCCGGACCCATGACACAAGCAGTGCCCAGGACAGTGACAGAGGGTGGTCTACCTTCACTGTGCAGCATAAGGATGGGGATGGCTGATTTGCAGCAGCAAGCCAGCTGAGTGGGGTCCTCCTCTTCCAGCCTCCTTCCCTCTGCAGGAACATCATCCCTGGTGGGAGTTTCCGTGCCAGCAGCGTGTGTGCTGTGAGCTTCCACGGTGTTGTTTTCCAACTGCCTAGAAAACAGTCATGCACCCAGTCTGAGCCACTGACCTTTCTCCTGTGCCGAGGCAGAAGTCGCTGTCACTCTGATTAACTCTGCTAATTCCACAGAACAAAAGGCAAGGAAACCTTCATGCTCAGCTCTCCTGACCCATGCTGCTGAGCTGATCAAAGGGCAAAGCTGCTGGAGCTGTGCTCTGACAGGGAGCCGCTCCCCCGCATGTATGAGGATGAGGTGTTTATCACAGTTCCATCACCTACTGCAGCACATATGTGGGAGAGCAGAGATGAGCTGGGTTTCCCAGGACATGGAGCCTGCAGTGGGACGGGATTTCAGAAGGGTTCTGCCTGTAGCAACAGGCACGGGGATGGTTTTGGCTGGATATTCAAAGGACTTCAGCCCAGCAGCCGGTATGACCCAACATGTCCGACTGAATGTCTGCCTGATTGTTACAGAGCCTAAGTAGAAGCTGAGCTCCTTTGAAAATCCAGCCCTAATTTAATAGGACACGCTTGACTCAGACTCTTTCCAGACTCTCTGTGGCTGATCTCATCTCGTGACATAAAAACACTGTTGCACCAACACCGTGAGTCGTGGTGTCTCACTGCAGTCGTTCTGCGCCCTGCTCCAAGATGGATCAGAGGGTGGATTTGGGAAGGATGCAACACCTCCTGCTTTGGTTTTGAAGCCAGTCTCCAACAAGTAGGGATATCAGCAGGACCACCATGGGGCCTGGTATCAATGCCAGGCTGGCAGCTGGACTGTCTGGGCCACAGCCCAGAGGCAGTGTCAAGGCACAGGCCTGGAGATTTCAAAACCCCGGTCTTATCCCGGTGGGTTAAACTCATCCACACGTCTCATTTGTCCTGTGAGTCTGCAGGTCTTCTGTAACATGCCTGAACTTGCTCATGCTGGCAAACAGCTTTGAGATCTGCTGGGGAAAGCCTGCCAAGTGTTATAGAGCTCACAGTGCCCCTGCGATGTCAGGTGGTGGTTGCACAGGAGAAGGTGCTTTGTGCTGTGTGTTTTAGTCCAGAGGTTGCTGGCAGGTCACCTCCTCCATGCCCAGCATGCCAGCACTGTGGGGCACTAACATGTGCACTGATACAGCAAAAAAACACTAGCTGCAGCCAGGCTAAAGCTGGCTCCAAAATGTTGTTAATGCTTCCTGTCCAGTTCTGCTCCAGTGAAGTCCAGTGTGACTCCAGTTTTGGGCTGGCATGCCTGGCATCTCCAGCCAGCCTAGGTACGCTGCCACAGGGGCACCATACCCTGTGCTCTGCACCCTGCCTCATTGCTGAGCACTGTGCTAGTCCTTGGAGCTGCTGCTTGTGCTGCATCTCTTGTCAAGTCCATAAGACCTTGGGCTCCCATTTGCTGGCTTCTCCTGGGAAATGCCTACCACATGTACCCTGTCCTTCCCTTCAGAACAGTGGCTTTTCACTAGTGATTAAAAGGAGTTTGTGCTGGGGAGGAAGGCAGGCTAATAAGAGGTTTGCTGAAAGGATGGAGCTGTTTGAAGTGCACTTCACATCTACATTTGCCTGGCCTCCGTATACAGCTTTTGTTCTTGTCCCCTTTTCTAATGAGAAGATAACAGGGCAAGGGGAGGTTGACCAAGAACACCCAGCTTACCAAAACACTTCTCCTCTTCTGATGCTTCTACCTAAACAGATCAAAACTCCATTTCTGAGGGATTCCTTAGGTGAACCCTGTGCATCTTCTACCTAGGGAGGAAAGGAGCTTTGAACTGCATGCAGCCCCCATAAACAAGGCACAGGTTTATTCCTATGGTCAATGCTTAGCACAGAATTGCCTGTTACTGCTCCAGCCCAGAGCCAGCTCCCTCTGCCCTGCAGTCCCTTTGCTGACAGCAGAACACCCCATGCGTGACCCAGCACACATTTGGCCTGCAGTGGTCAGGACTGGCAAGGATTTGCGAGGTAACAGTTGCATCTAAAGACACAACAGCATCGCTCACCTGCCAAGTGACAGTGGGCTGTCAGAGCCTGGAGCAGCAATGAGCTTCCCATTGGGAACTTGAGTGAGTCACAGCAGCTGAGCAGGGCTTTGGGCTTGCTGCACTGTCCCGGATGGGTTATTGGCATCGTGTGAGCATACCCGGGCAAATGATGAAATCCGGAGTGCAGCCACGGTTACACACAATGAGGGGATCCAGCATGCAGGCCATGCTGGAACCAGCTCCACGCCATCCCTGCTCCGATGTGCTTGTGCCTAGGGAGACAAGTCACAGACACAGTGAAGACAATAAGAGCTGCTTGGTTTGGATGCTCTCAGTCCCCTCCCTCTTTAATGTAAGGGCAACATTCTACAGCAGCCAGCTTCCAGGAAGGAGGGAGGTGGGTGGGCATGGCCAACAGCTCCCTGGCAGGGGACACAGGGACTGCCATTGAGGAAAAGCACACCCCACAGCTGGGCAGGGAGCAGGGGAGTGAATCACAGGTGTGTTTGGGGTTGATTCGCTCTCCTTAGTGGGCTGCTTACAGCCAAACAGTGCTAATGGCCAGGAGAAGTAAGGGCGTTATTAACAGCGTGGGCTTTTGGCAGTAAATTAAAAATCCTGGCTGCAGCCCTTGGCTCTGCTCTTGCCTCTTAGGAGGCATTAATATCACAGCTCCCCAGCATTCCCATTATCACTTCATTAAGGATCCAATAATGATAGATGTGGATGGTTTTATTTTCACGAGCCTGATTAATGGCCAATATTTCAGTAGGTGTTAAGGGGTTCCCTCCTTTATGGAGGGCTGGAAGGGGGCTGCCTTTTATCTCCAGAGCCACAGTTCTCACCACTTCCACTAATGTGACAGATTTAATGCAAACCTTGGAGGAGCGGCTGGGGCCTCTTGAGAAACTTGGAAGAGCATCACGCTTGGGACAACACTTGCTGCCGTGGCCATTCCCAGGCTCCTTTCTCCTCCTTTTCTTCCTCCTCCTCTTACCATGTCCTGCTGGCATCGCCTCCTTCCAGTGTCTGCACCCAGACGCCGTCACCCATCTCCTGGGATAATTCTGGTGCAGAATCACACCTGTCCTTGCAAGGTGGTGCAATGCGAGGAGTGGGCTTGTGCTGGCCTCACGCCAAAGCAGCTTGGGACCCCTCACCTGCCCCCCATGAGAGCTGGGGTGCAGGACAGAGCCCGCGCTGAGGCCGGCAGCGCTCCTCCAGCACCCCAGGATACAGCTTTGGTGGCTCCCCCGAGGCTGGCTCCATGGCACAGGGGCTGTTCTCCGCTGTAGGACCCCGGCGTATTGCACGGCTTCAATCCCTATATGAAGTGGGATGTTTAATCACATAGGAATAAAAAGCCATACAAGACAGCAGGCTGCGAGTCGCCCTGTGCTGGCCAGTCCCTCTGCAGTGGCTGCCACAGACCCTGCTGGGATGTGGCTGTGCCCTGGGGAGCCCACCCCCCAGCCCCTGTGCAGGGTCCATGGGGAGACAGGAGCCCTGCATCAAACAGAGAGGAGAGGCGATGCTTCAGGCAGCAGGAAGCAGGGGAGGCCCCAGAGCCACTGGAGAAGGATCCCTGTGGGGTGTCAGAACTTGCTGTCAGCTAACAGGGGCCTCCCACTGGAGCTGAGACAAGACTTACCCTGTGGTACACCCACACCTCCCCCTTCTGCCCATCCCAAAACATCACCCTCCAGGGGCTCCTCCGGCTTGGGGGCTCTCTGCTTGCCAACACCATTGTCCCCAGAGCTGTATCAGCTCCACCAGGGCAACCCCCAGCACCATCAGAAACGCCTGGTGGGGGGGGTTGAAAAGGGGCCATCCCCCTCCCCATGGTGGTCAGAGCATCCTCTGCTGCCTGACCAAAGAGAGCCTAGAGGGCTGCAGGAGCTGTCAGAGCACAAGCCCCCTGGCAGCCCAGTAGAGCAGCTCCCAGCTGCCTGCAGGAGCTCTTGACAGGGGCCAGGCACTGGCATGAGCAGGGACCCTCAGCTGGAAGAGGGATGTGGGTGGAATGGGGCCAAGGAGCTATTGCCCAAGGAACACTCACTGAGGAGCCTTGGCGCCGTGTGAAACCTGGAGGGTTTCCTGCCCACATCAGCCCTCACCCACCTGCTCCAAGAGATGTGAAGAGGCGAAGGTCAAGCCATGGCACTGCCATGGTTTGGGAGGATGGAGGGGTCATCCCTAGCCTGGCTCTCCCTTGTCCAGGCTGTGCCACAGCCATTGCCAGATGAGACCCCGTGGCTCCTCAAACAGCACAAATCTCACAGCTCCAGGGGCTCGAGCCAACCAAAGTCCCCAGCAAACCCCACGCAGGAGGCGAGCCAGTGGCAGTGACGGCACCAGAGTGAGCTGGGTTCAGTGATGGTGCCACCGGGTGCTCGGTCACCTCTTAACTGCCTCCAAACCAGATCAGACATCAAGGGATCATCATCTGATGAACTGTGCGAAAAGACGCGCTTGTGAATCACTGTGCCCAGGCTGGGTAAGAACACTGCCGGTGCTGTATCTGGGACTAATTGCTCTCCACGAGCATGTGAATCATTAGGTATAATTACCCTGATAAATAAAAGGAAGATAACGGCAGTCTCTCACCTAATCTAACACAAGTGATTTCCAGGGCGAGCTGTGTGAAATAAACCAGGAGCACAAGGCGGAGGGAAAGCAGAAAGTGGGGAGCTTCAAACCCTGGTCATGCTGTTCACCCCCCTCGCAGCAATGGAAGCCACAAGCAGCGGTGGAAGCTCGCCCACAGGTCCCCACTGGAGTTCAGTGGCAGAGGATTAGCCATAGGGAACTCAGGTTTGGCTACAACAGGGCTGTCCCTTCCCAAGGCAGCATCCCACCGGAGCACAGCTGCTCCTGGCAAAAGTTTCCCTGACACAAAAATGCCATCAGGTTAAGAAAAGGGATTTACTTTAGGGGTGACAAGGGGGCAACGGTTACAAAACCAGTTTGGCTTTCCCCTGGGAAGCACTGGAGTGAGAAAATAAAAACCAAATGCACCCCACTCAAAGCTGACATTTTGAAAGGAAGCAGCAATTTTCTTCTCCACTTAAAATGTCATCACAGACTTTTGCATTAAAAAGAAGCCTTCCCTGAGTGATATTTTAAGAGGAAATGTTGACTTGAAAGCAGAAGGAAACCCCCAGCCCATGCAATGAAGCGCTTTGAGCTGCAGTGAGACTCCTTGCACGGAAACTGGTATTTTTGCAGTAAAACAAAAAAAAAAACACCACAGCAAAATGGCAAGTAATTACAGAAGTTCTGCATATTGAATTTCCCATGGGACAAACCTGTCCTCAGGGAAGCGAGGCTTCCTTCTGGCTTCCATCCAGGCCAGATCTACAGAGGAAAGGATGGAGCAGCACCACTGCCGGGCCCGGAGGAAGCAGCATCCCCGCTCTGGGGCACATTTTCTCTAAAGCCCTGCAAAGCAAAGCAAAAACCTGGCGCAGAGGCTGGTTGTGCCTGGGGGGGGCAGGTGAGTGGTGCTGGCTCTGTGCTGTCCCCAGCACAGGAGCTGCTGCTGCCCAGTGCGCTGGTGGTGAAGGGGCTGAGGCTGGGGCAGGGAGCCCAGGTGAGCTATAGCAGGGTTTATCCCGCCTCCTCCAGGTCTCCCCACAGCCTCCACAGGGAGAAACAGGATTTACTCTGTGACTCAAGGGAATCCCCAGTCGCTTCCCAGGAAGCACGAGGACTGGGGCTTGTCCCTCTTCCGCTTGCAAGAAGGACTGGGCTCTGCCTACGATGCTCCGTGAGATCCGGCTGTGCCATGTCATGCCGGCAGCTCTTCTGCTGGTGGGGTTTGACCAGGAGCAATCTGTGCTTGGGCTCTCCCCGAGCCACCGTTATTGCTGCCTGGGTTTGGGGGTTTTTAATGAGCTGGAATATGAAGAGCCTGCCCGGGAGAACAGAGGGATTATTGGCAAATATCACTTCCCATTTGACAGGCTTCAAGGGGCTTTAGCCACGTGGATGAACTGGGGGCACAGAGAGGGACACAAACCACCAGGCTGGGACAGACCAGGGCTGAATTCTTTTAACAGAGGACTAAGCAAAATCCCACAGACAACAAGTATCCTCCAGCCTCCGAGGGGGTGGGAAGGGCTGCGGAATCCTAATTAGCTTTTTGATATTAATGAATTGGCACTGAAGAAAACAAGCTGGCAACAGCGGCTGGCACAGCTTCTGCTGCCACCTCCCAGTCCCAGCACAGGGCTGCCTGCACAAGGGGCTTGGTAGCGCATCCCCTCAGCTGGGGGCAGCCTGGGACATGGGGATCCAAAGGAACAGAGGGACACACACACTACTGTGGGAAAGGAGCTACTTAAGCACAATGGACCAGAGACGATGCAATGCACCCAGGATGCTAGTGCACATGGCAGGGCATGCCACTGTCCTGGTCCCCATCACCACAGCTCTCGCTGGGAGATGCCATTGCTTGCACAAGGACACCCACCTTGCCAGTGGCAAGAGTAAGGCTGAGTCACTTTGTCCCCACATGAAGCCGACAGCTCAGGGATGGGGCACCCCGTCACCAGCATTGCTGATGGATGCCCACTGGATCAGAAGCCTAAGAGCCAGCAGCTGGAGACACAAGGTGTGCAAATAAGTCCTTACAGTGGACACCTACACCTAGTGAAGGTCTCCAAAATCCCTTCGGGCATCCAACAAATACGCCAAGAAGAGCCACGGGTGCAGAGCCAGGGTCCCATGCCAGGGATGCTGGGAACACCCTGCAATATTAGTCAGAACTGTTAGTTACTAGCTGCTGCCGGGGAGGGAGGGAAAGCAGCCTCCCTCTTGTCCAGGGAGGGCCAGTGACTGACAGCTCCCTTCTTGTCTCTAAACAAACACCTCCTAAGGAAAGGGTGAAAGGGCTCCCCACAACTGACCCCCAGCACCCTGGGAGCCACCCACCAGCAGCTGCTGCTGGATGTACAACCCATCCACAGCCCCATCACTAGTAGAGAGCACTCAAAGAGTGTGGCAGTCCTGGCCCAGCACAGGCTACAGAGATAAGCCTTGTGGAAAGCCACACACAAACTTAGGGTGATGCCCTATGAGCAGAGACAATCCTGCACAGAGGCACAGATCAGGGTCCAGCTCACCTCTGCCTGTACCAGCATCTCCAGCAACAAGCCCAGCCTGGGAAGACATGCGAGCTTTGTCCCAGTGCCTAGCTGAGTTGTACTTGCCAGCACAGCCCCACTCAGCCTGCAGACTACATCCCAACCATCCTCAGCCGCTTTAACCTCTTATAAGCCCTCCTGGAAAGGCAGGAATCGCTGTGTGCTCTGCTGAGCCACCAGAAGTTGATTAAGCCCTAATTAATTGCATTAAGGTCAGCCAATGTACTCTGTTAAGGAAGAAAGCCAATAATTAAACTCCACGTGGGGCGTGCTTCTGCCATTAGCTCCCCAGGCTGCAGCAGTGGAGCCGGGCTCGCCGGGGTCACAGCCAGCGCCGCTCGCCAGCGCATGGTGGTGGCAATCGGGGGAGTAATTAAGTGCCAGGCATAAACCCGTCAGCGCTTCAGTGGCCGGCTGACAAAGCCCACCCAGCCCTATGGCTGTCAGCAGTGGGGCTGCCCAGGAAGGGGCTGCAGGGAGCGCATCCCGTGCAGGGAGCCCTGGGGACTTGGTCAGGATAAGCCATCTCCCCGGTGGTGCTGGGGTGAGGGGAGCAGCAGGGGCTGGAGGGGGGGTCCCTGCCTGGGGAGGGAGATCCTGAGAGTGCTGACAATGAGGTTCTGCATAGCCCAGCCGAGAGCACCTGCCCCAGGGCTGGGAGCCGGCCAGGGGCACCATATGGAGGGGCCCTGCCCCTGGCTGCGGTGGTACCTCTCAGCATGTGGCCCGTCTGGAAACAGCCCCTGGCATAGCCAGGAGCCTGGTGCTGAGCCGTGCAGGATGGGCCATGCAAGCCCTGCCTCTGCCCGTTGCCAGTCCAGCCCAGACATGCAACCACCAGGCACAGAGGTGATGGTACAAGATGGGTACAAGCATCAGGTTGCTCCTGGCCACCTCAGCCCCAGCTGCTACTTGCCGTGAGAAAACAAGGGTACACAGGGGAGCCCCAGCCCTGAGCCTGGCCCTGAGGCTTTGAGGTGGGGCAGGGAGCAATGGGGTAACGGAAGCTGTTGCTGGCATGAGGGATCGGGTCCTGCAGCTTCTGGGGAGGAGAAGGAGCGCGAGGGTGAGCTGGGGATCTGCTGGTTCGATCCCTCCCCGGCAGCAAGCTCGTTTAAGGCTTTTCTTTGCTCCCAGATGTAAAAATAAAGGCCAAGGTAATCTGCCTGCCTGTCCCTCTTTGTCTCAGGGATAATAGCACACAGCGCAGTGTGGAGCCCCCCCCCGGGCTTTGCAGATTACAGCTTTCAGAGATGTCTACAGTGCCTGGACAAAAATGAGAGGTGGTGGAGCAGAGCGGGACACGAGGGACGTCACAAGGTCACCCACTCCCTGCCTGCCTCGCTGCATCTCCCCTCTCCTTGCCCTGCCACCAGCTGGGTGGGCGATGGGATGGTGGCCGGGCAATGGGACAGCAGCAGCTCCCCAGCGCCGAAGGCTGACCCTTCACTGAGGCAGAGTTATGAATATTTCACGGGGGCTTTTTGCTTCATAATTCACACTTCACTGGCTCTGATAATTACACATCTGATCCGAGGCGGGGGGGGGGGGAATAGAGACAAACCCATGTCACCCACCGCAGGAACAACGACAGTACGAGCTGCCTCTCCCATACTCACAATGATTTCTCTGCAAGCCACCTTCAGACCTGAAATGACTGGCTGGAGACACGTGGGAATCGCTGTATGGGGCTGAGCTGCAGCTGGCTTTTCAATAACTCAAAGGGTCAACACACGGGAGAAAAAAAAACCAACCCCAAACCAATTCCCCCTCTTCCCATTAGTTCTGTCTGGCAGGAGGCGTCCCAGCCCCGGCAACGAATATCCGCTCAGGAATGTCTCATGTCTAACAGCACAAAAAAAGAGAAGGGGGGAGGTGGGAGGAAGCCCTATGCCCGGCCTTCTTTCCCCATGGCCGAGTTCAAACGGTTCAAGAGGGCAGGCAGGGGCAGGCAGGGGCTCACAGCACCATGTGCTGATGCTCAGCAGGCAGAGGGGCCGATCGGAGGGAGATGCTTTCCCGTGTGCACCGCTGTCCCCTGCTCTCCATCCGCGCTGTGGCTGCCCACGCCAGCCTTGGGTCACAGCCGGGCTCCGGCTCCTGCTCATCCCCTTCCTCCTGTCACCGCACACGTCATTCCTCCGAACACAGCCCACGTAGTCGGCATTGCCGACACCGGGGAGCCGGCCACTGCACCCCATGGAATGGGGCTCGGTGCCTTCGTGCTCTGCTCCCACACTGCCCAGGTTTATTTGGTTGATCAAAAGCATCAGGGGCCCAACACCACAACAGCATCCCCCAAAGAAACTTCTGGGGATGAGGTATCTCTGCAGGCATTTTACAGACCCCTGTATGCATGTACCCCCTGAAACACTCTGCATGGCCTCTGTGTGCCACCCACCCTGAGTACCTCTCTGCTGCCTTTTGGAGCCAGCCCTGAGAAAGAGAAGGAACCAGATGGGGCAGAGGGGACACAGAGACACCAGACAATAAAACCCAAGATCCTTAACACCCCAGCTCTGAGCTCAGACCTCCTCGCTCCTCTGCCCCACGTGGGGTGCCCACACCTTCGCACAGGCACCCACACTGGCTGCCACCCAGGGCAATCCGCAGCAATCAGTTGAAATTCTAGCTCCATGCTCCGTGCTGGATGGAGATAAGGACAAAACTACTCCTCTGCTTACAAACAAGGGGACAGATTCTCCTGCCAGCATCCGGCAGGCGGTACCAGAGCCAGCGAGGCCAAACCTGGCCACAAAGCAGCTCCGTGCAGGGATCACAACCAGGATCCAGCAGCCTGCCCGCGGTGTGGGGAGCGGGAAGTGCGGATCAGTTCCGGCTTCTCCTTTTACCTGAGGCCAGCGTGAATCCCAGTGGTGCAGGAGGAGCGACGTGAAGTGAGGGCGGCTTGGGGAAACAGGATCCCCTCCTGGGGACAGTATCAAAGACACATGCAAAAGGGAAAATAAAAGACCAACCCTTCCGTCCCCTCATCCCCATCCCTGCTCCAGACAAAGGCAAACCTGGGCACACGTGAAACACAAACCACACCAAGACCCCAGGCTGGCCCAGGCTCCCCTAGCCCTATGGCACCCCTGGGGACCAGCCCCACACACAGACCTGAGTGGCAGCGATGCCCAAACCAAGACATGGGGCCCATGATGAAAATCATGCTGGGAGAAAAGCCCACCCAGGGGGAGGCAGCGCCGGGAGGTACCTTTGCGATCCCCAGCCACACCGACGCTGTCCCCCGATCACGGGGCACCCCAGTGCCGCTGCCCTGGGAGGTGACAGGTATTTATGGGGGTGAGCGGCTATCCCCCCGCGCTGGGGACCGCGGCTGCCATTGGCTCCCGCGCAACCCAGGCAGCATCGATCTCCAGGGGCTCGCTCTGACAGGGCCAACTTTACAAGGGAAGCAATTATTTCTTCTCTTTTTTTTTCCTCCCCATCTGAAACAAAGACGAGGGCTACAGCGAGTGAGAGCACGGATGAGAAAACAGGCGGGGAGGGGGGGGGGGGGACTGGAAGAAAACCCACACAAACCCACGGCCCTTGAAACAGGAGGGAAGGATAAAAAAGAAACCGGAGGCTGCAGAGGTAGACGTGGAGATGGGAGGGCAAAAAATTGCAGAGGGAAGAGGCGGCAGCCGGGAGCTGCGCGGGGAGCTCGGCCGTGTCACACGTACCGCACCTCCGCGGAGCCACCGGCCACCCCTCCGAGGCCACCCGGCGCGATGCCGTGACCCACGGGGACTCAGGCCCTCGTGGCGGCTGAGAGGACACGAGGGATCATGCCCACCCCCCCACCCCCCCCCGGCTCTGCTCCTGCTTCCCCACAGCGCTCCCCCGGGTGCGCTCTCCACCAGGACCCACGTCCCCACCGCGGAGGCCAGAGCAGTGACCGCTGAAGCCGGGGGAACACGGCTGGCGGCCGGGGGATCCCACCGCGCTCTCCCGCGGATCCACCTGCCATTAGGCAGGCGGCGACCGAGCCCACGCCCGTGCCAGACCCCGGCATCCCACGAACCCGCTTTCCGTGGGCTCCCCCTCATCACGCCGAGCAGCTCCCGGGACCACCAGCCCTCCTCCCCGGCCGGCCACGCAACCGCCTTCTTGCCCCCGGCTGCAGCACCCTCCCGCCAGCAGGATCCGTCCCCGGGTCCTGCCCAGCGCCACCGGCCAGCGGCTCCTGGGGCGGGGAGCAGCGGGGCTCCGGGCTCCTCCGCTCCCTATCGCAGGGGATGCTCCCGCCAGGGCCGGTCCCAGCGGGCAGGATCCGGCCCCGCTCGCAGCCCTCCCCTGCACCCGCCCCGCGCAGCGCTGCTGCCCCGCCGCCAGGTCCGCACCGCCCGGCCGCGCTGCCGGTGCCGGTCCCTACCTGCGCGGCGCCGCCGCCGTCCCCGTCTGCAGCCGCCGCCGCCGCCGAGCCGCGCTGCCGCGGGGGCGGGCAGCGGGAAAGCGGGGGGGGGGGCAGCGCCCCCTCCCCGCCCCCGGCCTTCCCCCGGCCCCGCCGGTCCGCCCGGCCCGCCCCGGTCCCGGCCCCCAGCCCCTGCAGCGCCGGCAGCAGCTCCCGCCCCTCCGCAGCTCCCCCGGCCCGGCCCTGCCCTGCGCCCCCCCGTGACCCCCCATCCGGGGGCCGCACCGGGGCCGGGCACAGGGAGGCACAGCCCAGACTGGGGGCAAAGAGGGGAACAGCCCGGGGTGGGGGGCACAGCCTGGGACGGGGATGCCCGCTCTGGGAGAGAGACCAAAACCGCCTCAGCCAGGACCCAGCATCGTCACCGGCCTTAATTTGCGCTGAGCCACCGCAGGTTCAGGGAAGTGGCTGCAGCTGCCCTCAGACACATGGCAGTGGGGTGCTGCGGGTGCATCCCACACCGCTGCCACAGCCCTGAGTGCTGGGGCACAGACAGGCCCCCAAAACCACGCACGCACGAGCACTCCCCTGTATCCTCAAGACAGATATGGCCACCTCTGCCGGGTGCTCCTGGGCAAGGTGGCTGCCACATAACCCCTGGGTGATGCCAGCTCAGAGGGAGCTGGTGTTGTAACCCACCCACATGCACGCCTCCCCCTTTGAAGTCTCACAACCAATTCGTGTCTCACTTCACCTCCAAGGACAAGCCAGCAGAAAAATCAAAGAGAACGTGCAGGTGGCACCCAGGCTCGGTCCCTTTCACAGTGTCCTGCCCGCTCCCAGCACCACATCACTGCTGGCTGGAGCACGTCACCACCGCTGGGCTCTGAGCCGCAGTGGCAGAGGTGGCCCTGGAGAAGGATGGGGATGGGAATGTGTGGGAGCTGCATCCCACCAGTGACAGCTCCTCCAGGACAGCTCCAGGCTTTGCCTTCACACCGAGCATTCACCCAAGCTCCCCAGCCCCTTGTGTCCAGAGCACCAGGGTGCAACCCATGCCATTCCTCTAGCATTAATAAAGCCATTAATTAACTAATAGATTGCCACTAATTAACTAATAGAAATACCACTTTGCAAGTGCCTCAGTTTGGATCACGGTGGTAAGCGGGCTCGAGGAGGCAGAAGATATTTTAATGCCAGGGCGGCTGTTTAATACAGGCAAACCCTCCTCGGGTCGCTCCTGAAGCCCGCGCACGCTGAGCACAGGCCTGCACAGAAGAAACAACGCGACAGATGAGCTGGGTTTCCCAGGAGAAAAGCCCAAACGGGAGCAGAGGAGCCCGGCCGCAGGCTGCACAGAGCAGCTTTTCATTACAAAGGGCCAGGAAGCATCTCGGAGCTGGCAGCAACACCGACACCATGCAAGAGGGAATCTTTCAGGCTGATGCAGCAACAAAGGCAGTTAAATCTAGCCAGGTAAGAGGCTTTTGAGGTTAGCTGGCCATTCCCACAGCACAGGCTTCTTTAGTCTTTTTCTTTCTTTCTTTCTTTTGTTGTTTTTTTTTTTTCCCCTTCTTTCTTTTTTTCCCCTCTTCTTTTCTAGGGGGAATTATTTTGGGTAATCCGTGCGTTGCTGCTCGTTGAGCACTGGAGCAGAAGTAAGCAGGTAAGCGGCGCTTTCATCCCCAGCCCAGCTTCCTACCACGACGAACTCCAGCGAGGGGCTTTGAGCCTCAAAGGGAAGTGGTGAGGCTGGGCTGAGGCAGCTGGAGCTGCGCTAAGCTTGCAGCAGCTGTGAATCGCTTGGGGTCTTTGATCGAAGGGATGGCAGCAGAAAGCTACCTGGGGATGAGCAGCTTCCACACCAAACCCCTGCTGCACCGGCGGAGGCTCGGTGCTGTAAGGCACCCCGGGGTGGTCGGGGTGCTGGCACCCGCCTGGAGGGAGGGAGCAGGGTACATCCACCACCTTCTCCTGCCTGGAAAGGCTGGGGGGACTGGGGCATCCTCAGCATCAGGGCAGGCAGAGTGGTGACCCTGTGGTGTAAGCGGGGCCAGGCTGCTGCTTTGCGCGGCTCTCATTGCCTGGCCTCTCCTAGCAGGGCAGAGAGGTGCTGGGAGTGGGAAAGCCACTGATGACACCCAAGTCATGGGGAAAGACCACAGACAGGAAGATGTTCCCATTCCCGGGTGATTCGGGCATCTTGGTGGGATAATTTTGGGATGCACCAGGATGGAGGCCAGACCTTGAAGCCCGTTAGTGGCCAGGAGGGTGTCTCTGAAGGGATCCGTGTCCCTGGAGGCTCGCACGCCAACTCCAATCCTCCCAGTGAAACACCCCAGACCAGGATGGGCTTTGACCTGGGCAGCCGCCTTCTCATGATCTGGCTGTGTGGAGGATGTGCCGGCAGCCCGTGACTCAACACCTTCTCCTGCTGCTTCGCATCAGCAGGTGGGATGTGAAATGAACCCAAGGGTTGTAATGAGCCGTGCCGGTGGAGGCAGTGCCAGCTCAGTGAGCTGTGCTGCTGTGCAGGGACCCATGGCCCCTCACCGTCCCAGGGTTGTGGCCACGACAGGGGGGTGGCCACAACTCATCTCCCTGATGGAGCCCATCACCTTGTTGTTCTGCTGAACTCTCCTCAGGTATCACCCCACCAAACCCTGCTTTGATCCAACTGCTGTCACACAAACTCCATCCATCCTCTCGTGATGCCTTTTACATCACCCCAGGCCACGTGCTGTGCTGGCGCCATGCAGTGCTGGAGCATGGAGCACCCCACCATGCTGAACTGCCCAGCACCCTGCCCGAGGACCCCATGCCCTGCCTCAGCATGGGGCAAAGGCAATGCTGGATCTCTCTTCTTCCCCATCATCCTCCTCCTCCTCTCCCCCTACCCAGCCGGCATCTGCGGCTGCAGCAAGATTAAACCAATTGCTCCGTTATTTGTTTCATATTTAATAAGGGCTCGAGGAGCAGATCTCCCAGCAAGCCCCTGCTATCAATCAAACCCGCACTGAGTCCCCCTTCGCGCCTGCCTTTCTAAGAAGAAAGAAAACAAAATTGGACTAATTTATTATTCATTCGTTCATTAAGTCCGTATTAACCAGATATATTATAAAGGAAAACAGGACTGCGCCTTTTGATCGGCGAACTCTCTGCTCATGAATATCCATGAGCTCCCCCCAGCCCGGCACCTCTCCCGTGTGCAGAGTGAGCCGCAGCCGGGTGCCAGCTCTGGGCCGGGTCCTGGCACCCGGCGGGGCTGGGGAGCTGCCCCCGGCTCTCCGCTCACATGGCACCGGGAAGCGGCTGCGCTGTTCCGCGAGGCCCCATGAGCTGGCTGGAAGCGGGTGGAGAAGCCCCGCTGGGGGCAGAGGGCTGGTGGGGATGCCCTGAGGGGCACCGGGGGGAGAGGCTCCCCTCCCGCCTGCCTGGGGCTGAGCAGGAAGCCGAGCAGGTGTTGTTTCCGCGGTGTGAACAAGCAGCATATGTCCCGGCTCCGCAGCGCGGCGGCTGGCGGCGATGCCCGCGGCTCCCCCGGGGCTGCAGGGAGGCAGAGCAGGACCCCGAGGTGCCAGCAGGGCCCTGTGGGACTGGCACAGGGGCAGAGTGTCCGCCGGATCACTGGGGCACCCTCCATGAACCCCTTGGTCCAGCCCAGGGAGGATGGGCTGGAGCAGGATTGGGGCGCTGGGATGCTGATGTAGGGACCGGCTGGCACCAGTCATGAGCTCACAGCGATGCATGCCCGAGTGAGCCAGCAGCGCTGGGAGAGCCGCATCCCAGCCCAGGTCCTTTCCGTGCCCATGAGATGCTGCACCCTGTGGCAGCAACAGGCGCCCACAGAGAGGAGAGATGCTGGGTGGCACATCCGCACGGATGTCCATGCACTCATGCAGTCCAGACCAACCCGAAAATAGGTTGGTTTAAAAAATGCATCGCTTTGAAGTTATGTAAATGAAAGGCAGTGGCAAACAGAGCATGCTGGCAAAAGGTTTCCAATTTTTTCTTTTCCCTTCCTCACCAGCTTCCTCTGGTTAAAATTGGGTTGCAATTCATTAATAAAGGAACAGTTGTACTGAAAAAGCTCCCGTGCTTAAATCAGGACAGAGAAGCGTAATTAACCCAGCTCCAGTCTGATCTGATGGAAGAGGAAAATGCTCTTCTGTTTCGGTCCCTTCTCTTAAAAGCCCGCTGCGTTTTCCCGGCCTCTTGGGAACAGAGTCAAGCTTCTTATTTAAAAATGAAGCTTGCAGCCTGGTGGAGTGGGTTCATGTATATATATAAAAGCTGTCATGATGATATTTTATTCATACCCCTCTTCCCCTTCCCTTTGCCTGGAAAATCCAGGAGCAGGCAGCAGGCGGCTTGGAGAGACGGAAAGCAAGAATCCCCTTTTAAAAATAAATTACAGATGCAAGTCACATTAGTTGAAGCCCCACGAGGCAGCAGATTCCCGAGCACCAGGGCTGCCATCAGTAGCTTGGTCAGCCTGGACTGGGCGCAGCGGCATCCCACTCCAAATGCCACCCCCAGGGAGCAGGAGGGAACAGGCAGGGTGGCTTCAGCTCCGGGGTTATGCAGCTGATTTATGCAAGCTGAGGATATGGCCTTGCTTGTCTAATTGGAGCTAGCACCTAACTTACAGAATAATTACAGATGGGGCCACGAGGAGCTCCTGCCAGCAGGTCCCACGGAGGGATTCAGCCTGCTGTCCCTAGCTCGAGGTGAGCGAGCTCCTTCTCCACTGTTATTTTTGGGGCTGAATTTGCCACCTTTCTCTGCGGTGTTTGTCTGGATGAGCTAGACGCCGTCCAGCACCGTCGAGCTGGCACGCTGCTCCGCATGTTGATGCTGCTCTGCCGGCCCCCGCTCCCCACTTCCTCTGCCGCCGCTTTCTCACCTGCCGTAAAAATAGCTGTCTGGTTGCATGGCAAACCGTATTTTGTGTGGTCCTGTGGTGGGGAAGAGCTGCCCACAGTGAGGGGCTTGGATCTGCTGTGTGGGGCAGGGCCAGACTGCATGGTCCATTGAAAGTGGGAGTGTTGGACGGTCCTGGTGTGCTGTGAGAGAGGGGCTGATGAAATCCCTGTTGGACTGGTTACAGCCCCATCAGCATCTCCTCTGCCCTGCTAGAGCCACAGTGGTTCCCATATCACCTGGGGTGAGCTGGGGCAAGTGCCTGGAGGGATGTGGCCAGCCAGAGGCATTGCTGTGCAGGATCATCCCCATGATGGAGTTGTGTAGAAGCAAGTGTGTGATGGGGACATGAAGAAGCACCTCCGCAGTGGGGGATGTGCAAGAGCATCCCTGTGACAGTGATATGCAGCAGCATCTCTGTGCCATGGGATTCCATGTGCCTGCCCGGATTTCTGCTGCAGGCTGCCTGTAGGGCTCTGCTTGAAGCATGGAGCAGAGCAGGGGTGGCACTGCCCCATGGCACTGCTGCCCATAGCCCCATCAGGGACCTCCCTGCACACCTTGTCCGTATTCTGATTCACTCCGTGTCCTGCTCCTGTTTTCCCTCTACTGTAGCCCTACCCCAGGGGATTTTGAGGCTGCAGTAGTTTTACTATCCAGGTTGATTCCTGCAGCATGGGGAATGTTGAACCCTGGCTGTGAACCCATCACACCCCCTGCAAGTGGCTGGGCCAGCATGGCTGGGTACCAGCCTGGAGAAGCAGGAGCATCGCTGGGGCTCATCCTCCCCTGCCACACACCAGCGAGGCTGGAAGTCCTTGGTGGGGCTAACTAGGACCACAGGGCCAGAGGAGGCCAGCTCTGTTGTAGCAGAGATGCTTCTGGTAAGGAGGAGAAAAAAAGAGAAATGAGTGTTTGTTTCTTTTGGAGAAGATTGCTCTCTGCACACTCCTTGTATTTAGTTATTATTAAAGGGTTGTTTTGCTGTCAGTGAAAGCCTGCAATTACAGGCTCCCTTTTTTTTCCGGCTGTCACTACTATTCCCCGTGAATGCATTGCCCACAATTTTAGCATTTCTGCCTTTCAGCATGAAGGAAAAAATAATTATGAGACTTGGGCCGACACTTTTCACATGCACATGGCTGGTTTCAAACTCCTCTGACTGTTTCCCCCACCAAAGAACACCATTGTGGGGGCTCCTGGAGCCATATGTAGCTGTGCACTAGCAGGGGCTCGTGGCTCTTCTCCCTCTCATTTCCTGTATACCTGCCCACAAAAAGCTTGTGGGAATCCCACCAATGCCAACACTGCACCTGGAAAGCCACCATCACCTTGTGCCCTGCTCCTATCAGTGCTGCTTGGGGGGTGGGATATGTTATTTTCATTAGAGAGCCTTATAAATTTCCCTTGGTCAACTAAATAGCAGCTGGTGGCTGGAAACATTGCTTCATGACCCACATCTCTCTGCAGCAGCTCTGCATCACGTCTCCCATGCCCTATATCCCTTCCCTAGCCCTGTGTGATGTGAGACATCCCCAGCTGGAACCAGCAACCCTGCGGAGCCAGGGATGCAGCAGATGCGACAGACCTGGCTCTGCCAGACCCCAAATCCTCGATGTGCTCAGAGGAATTCCCCCAAAGTTCATGGGGATGCAGCCTCTCTCTCCAAAACCCTCCTCCCCAGCTGTATCACCACTAAGCTAATGTGGCTAATTTTAAACGAAGCTGCCCTCCCTTGACATGCATCTCCCCGTGGCATTGAAATTAAATGTAGGCTGTAATTTGGCATTTGAGAAGCGAAAGGCATGGTGGCCCTAAGGGAGACGATAACAGCTTGGCTGTTTGTGTTAAATAGCTGTCTGCGAGCTTCAAACTGCAGCCGGAGATTCAGCTCGCGGCGGGCAGGCTGCCAGCCGCCGGCCCGCTTTTTGGCTACAGCTCCTCTGCAGCAGGAAGCTCGGCGGGGGGGGGGGGGAATCTCAGTCCCTACCCCCCTTTTCCCCTCCTGCATCTCACAGGGCTTCTGCTTTTTCCACACCCTCCACGGCTTCTGTTGAAACCATCTCGCAGGCTCCTTGATTCGCCAGAAAGGGGTGTCCAGAGGGCACGGCCACTGGGCAAGCAACAGGGATGGATGCACAGCCCTGGGGAAGGAGCAGCACACTCCTCCAGGGCACCCAGAAACCTGGCGCGGGGCAGCGCAGCCTGGCACAGACCCCCCTGGTTTATGCTGCAGGTTGCACGGTGAGGGCAGCCCATCAGGGATGTCCCCATTGCACGCTGCATGTTTCACTTGCACGTGGCACAGTGGTGGCAGCCCACCGGGGCCACCCCTGCTGCACATCACACATTCCCTTTGCATGTTGCACAGTGGATCTGTGCAGCTGGGAAAGAGGGACACATCACAGGGTGAGAGCTCCTTGGGTGGCACTGTCCCTTGGGCCAGGCCTGGGGACAGCACTAGGCAAAAGTAAAGGCTGATACTGCACTGAGCAGGGAGGAGCTGCCACCGACCCGAGCAAGGTTAAACCCTCCTATCAAGCATAACCTTGGCCACCACCAAATGCTGCACCACCGCGGACTTGCAGGGATTTGGCTTGGGCATGGCACAGAGGTGTCTAGAGCAGCTCCAGCCCC